ATGTTCCTAAACACAACAGGCAGGCCTCCATTGTGGCGCTGGGCTGCAGCCATGTGTAAATGAAGTTAATATTCACTGAGCTTATGCATGGCCACATACGGACCCCTGCGTCACCTTGGAAATAATGCTATCTAACTCAAAGTGGCAGCGGTCTCCCTGAAAGAACCTCTGAGCTGACCATGTGTCTTTGTGTGTTTGAGAATGACTGTTTGCTTGGATTCTGTCTATTCATGTGAGGCAGCGTAGGGACTCACAGTTTGACGGGCAGGTCAGATTCCAAGACCTGGATACTGCTGAGTCATCACTCCCCTGTTCTTTGAAACAGCCTTAAATAATGGTCGGTGGGAATTTGTCTAAAATCCCACCATGTATTTTAAGAGAAATAACTGCACTGACACACACACACACACACACACACACACACACACACACACACACACACACACACACACACACACACACACACACACACTTTAATTCAATGTATCATATCAATTTCACATAACTGTATTAGGTTAGTTGAAAGCAATAATAGGAAGTTGAACCTAATATTTCTTATTTAAACTTAATATTATTTATTTAAACTTACCTATTACAGCTAGAAAATCTGTTGACACGATGCATGTAATTAAAGTCAACGTTTCAGTTTCTTCAGTGCATGCTCCTGGAATCAGCCCAAGTTACTCTATATATCTAAATCCAGGGTAAACAGTGGAATAAACCATTGTCATTGTTTCCTTGCTTTTGTTTCAGCATTTGACCTGCTGCAGTTCATATGAATGTAACTGAGAGACACATATTTACCGAGCCAAAGGACTTTTTGAATGAGTCTCCCGGTGAAAGCTTTTTGTAAAATGATCCATTTGTATTTCATTTGACATGTTGACAGGGACACAACTGGTCTCTGCTGGAACCAGAGCAAGCATCTGTATCCCCGGAAACAACCTCTTCTTGCTTTTAATTCACATTTTGAAGTGTATATCTAAAAAAGGGCAGTGGATATGGAAGTCTAAATAAATAAATACAGCTTGCCAAATCACGATTTCAAGCTACCTTTGGTAGCAGGAGGTGCCGCGAGAAAATGAATGATAAAAGAAGATATACACTGTACTGAGCACTGAAACCAAAGATGTGGATGTTTGTTATAAACCTCATAATTCTGAACGTCCAACTATTACTCAGATACCTCTTTGGAGTTCAAAACATATTTTCTTTTCAAATGGGAATATTTTAATGCATTAAAAGATGGTTATGAACATTTGCGATGGGCCTCACTATTTGAAAACGTAACAATTCATTGATTTATCAATACTACAGCATAAACAACTAATGATTTTTAAACACTTTTTTTATTCCGTAAAATACCTATCACAAGATTGTTTCAAATGTTGCTTTCGTCTGAGCAACAGTTCAGAAAACTAAAACGTATTCCAATAAAATAAAACAGAAAAAGGCGCAAATACTCATATCTAAGAAAGTTGATCCAGAGATTATTTTACTTGATATATGACTTAAATGAATGTAATGTCCTCCTCAGGGTTTTGTGTAAACCAGATAACTGGCATCACATTTGAAAGTGATGCCAGGAAACAACATTTTTGTTTGTCAAAAATTGTATAAATATTAAAAAATATGAAAATCATGTCATATCAGACGGCAAAGACAGCTTTGTTTGACGGAGAATAAAGCCCTGGGCATTGGGAGGATGCTGCTCTTCACAGGAAGCATACTGAGGGGATGAGCTCCCATCCATCAACCATTTATTTCAATCTTGAGTGGTTGAGGTCCGTTTAGGTCTCTTTTGGATTCGGCTCACACCTGTCATTTGCATAATTAAGTTCTGGAGCAGTTGTAAAAGACATTTGGTGTATTACATTCACACCTTATCAATCAGACGAGCATCAAGATGTACGGGACCTCCTGTCTCCTGGCTTCCTGGGTTCATTTGAAATGCTAAGTGCAGTTGTTTCTCCAGGCTGGGAGCTGGGCCGGACTGCCTGGTGGCTCCTTACATGTTAGCTGCCGTGGTCGGACCTCAACAGCTCTGCTCCCCGGGGGCTAAATCATCAATCAGTCTCCGGCGAACTTCTGTCCGACTCACTGACAGTCAAGATGGATGGTTCCAGCGTCTACAGGATGCTGTATCCTCTCATTAATTATCTTGTTAGCATGCACAGATAGCAGCGCGATAGAGTTTTTCACCACACGGAGCCCTCTCCCTTTTTTAGTCCAGGGTCAACAGTTAATCATTTCTCAGCCACTCGTTATTTAGTACCACAATGATGTGATGTGTCAAAATCGGACAACATACATTCCCCGGGACTGAGCCAAACAAAGACGCCTATGTCCTCCCACAAGGGCCCTCTCTCTGTCCAACGACTCCGTGGCTCCATCTCAACCAGCAGCCAGCGCCGAACAAGACCAGCGGATGAATGGGGGCTATTTTCACAACATGCAAAATGAAGCCAACGCAGGCTGCGCCGACACTTCAACTGGCCTTTTTCAGCACCCATTACACTGAAACCAGTGAAGGCAGCAGGCGGAGAAGAAGAGTGACATTTACAGCCAGAGATTGCCACACAAAGAGTTAAAGAGAGACAGAGGGAGGGGGGCGTCGGAGTGAAAGACAAGGGGTCCCTCTTCGCTGACGGTGATGAATGAGTGGATCACAACACGTTTCAGAGGAGGCCTATGCACCCACAGAGGGGGCTCCTCAGATGACATGACTGACAGCTCAACTTGCTGTCTCCACCTGCACCCGCCCCCCCCCCGGCTGAATAATTTACACGGCGGCCATGTTGTAATGATAGCCTGCTGCAGACACTGTATTACGCATCAGCATGTTAGTGTGCGAGTCATGTCATTCAACAGAGTCTTAAACACTCTGCTGCCACGCCTATACAACGCCCACGCAAATCTGCAGAACATGTTTCAACACTTAACAGAAAATAATGACTTGTTTTGGTGGCGAGTTAATAGTCTCAAAGATGGACTCAGAACCACCATTACTTGCTTCCAATCCTGAAACCCACAGACTGAAATGTATACCAATGAATGCATCAAATGTTGAATGGTGAGATGTTGTTCTTTGTATATTGCTCATAGAATTATTTTCATCTATCAGTACAAACTAAAACACTAAAATGTTGCTCTGTTATCCAAATGTATAAATGTAATTTCCCTGGTCCAGTTCGCCCACTTAAAACAGGTCTAAACACTTGAGCCTGTTTTTAATGTGTGTCCTTGTGCTGATTGAGTTTGTATCGTATTCATTCCTCGTTTTTTACCTTTGAAAGTGTCTTTAAGCACCTGATAAAGAGCATGACTCATGACCTAACATTTATTATTGTTATAATTATTATATTTTCAGACCACACTTTGTACAAACGAATGCGTTACAATCACACTGAAGACGCAGCCTCCCTTAAGGCACCATTAGAGATGCTCTTTTACACCGCTAAGACAAGCTATTCCGAGGTCCAAATGCCAGTACTTCACATCTGTAACGGTCACAGCCACTTGGACTTATCGCTCTGCTCTTCAGCTGATATAAATACTTAGGTGGTGTTCAGGGAAACTACTGAATGGACAAGTTCATGTCAGTGGAGCTGCTGGAAGAAGTGCTGATGGAGCACCGTGATTCTCATTGTATTTAGATGAACTACCCCTTAATACAAAGGCTTCTCATGGCTCAGTGGAGATAACGCTTATAAAGGTGCAGTGTCAAGACTCCAGTTTGATCCAAATACACATGAAGGAGCCTTCTTCCTCACATATTTGTATTAGTTGACACATGAACAGATTCATTAATAGAGACTTAGAACAGTCTGTTCTGAGGGGTTTGCAGCAAAATATGATATGGAAAGAAATCTAAAATGACTTTGAAAAGCCGGAGCTGTTGGTTGTTATGCCGCATCGCTCTCCCTGTGGAAATAAAACGCGGCTTTCTTTCCAAAGGACACAACTGGATCTTACATCTATGCATATTAAAACAACAAGAACAATCAAAAGGAGCTCCGATAGCCTGCTAACATTAGAGACACGGCACAACTTGAGGCAGGCGATGCTGCTCTAAATGACATGGCCTAATATATTTCATTAACACCCCACCCTCAGAGGGTCCCTAATGGATGACAGAGTGGCATGAAAGCGTGTCTGCCAGAGACACTCATTTGTTCTTAGACACATTCCATTCAATTATTACTGGCTGCTACTCCTCATAAGCTGCTTAGACTGAGGTTGCCCCCAAAAAAGGATTGGCTGACAAGGCAGGCCACTTAAATTGTGTGACCTAAATCACCCCTTCTAATCCATAGTGATTTTTATCTTTCAAGTCAGGTGCCCACCGAAAATAATCCTCTGAGCATTCACTGTGACAGAACGCACTTTATTGTTAATTGTAGCAGCAGGACGGCACTACAACAAGGCGAGCGGAGCTGTGTTTGCCCTTCCTGTTAGGCTCCTTCATAAATACCCTGAGGCCTGAATGCCACAGTACCACGGCTATTTGTTTCCCCTCTCTGTCAGGGTCATTTGGCCAGATTAGAAAGATATTGAAAATCTGGCTGGACTTCCTCTAGACCTGTGTATCTGCTCCAGATTGTCTTGGCTCGTTGCCAGAAGGAACGGGGAAAGTATTGGAGCTGAAGGGCTAAACTAGATGTATTATTTAATCTCAGTCTAAACTGAATCGTAGATATAAAGAGAGTGGTAATCAATTAATACAGACTTTAATTATTTGTGTATTTGACCTCAATCATTTCTTTATATATTACTGCTTTTATCCCTTTTGCCAACAGAGCTTATCGGCCGGTAATGCCTAAATTGTCATTTACCTCCTTTGCATAATCAAATCACGATATATCCGTTTCTTTTTTTTTTCTTGGTACACCTTTTGCGGTGTAATCCAGGATGCCCCTCACGGATTTCAAAAGAATACGTTAGAAGGAGCAACTCTGTGAATGCTAATGAGTAATTCAATTATGTTTTAAGGTACTCACGTTCACATGCGTCTCCTTTCTGATGAAATCCAGCTTTGCATATACATTTCCCAATTGGAACGAGCCATTCCCCTTCAGCGCTGCAGTGCATCTTGGGAGAGTTGTCGGCCTCCTCCTCAGCATCATTTACACAAATGCCCTCCACTTCCACCAGCGAGGAGAACTCCGACCCCGTCACGGTGTCCGGGAACGTGGCCAGGTTCTCGATGATAGACCAACACTTCTTGTAATAAACTTTGACAGAGACCAGGGCGATGCACGCCCCTACATCCTGGAAGGCCAGGTAAAACCCCCGCCTGGACAGGGGGCCAATTATGCGCACTTCTGTATTCAGCTTCATCTTCCTCTCGCCCAGGTCACCCTGGGTAAAGCTTTCATCTGCGGCGATTGTGTCAATTTTCACATATTGGTTCTCCCGCAGGCTCCTGCCCACCTCCGAGTCTGTTTCCTGGTAATACAGGTTGAATGTCTCCTTGCACGTGCCCACCACCCCGGGTAGGCTGTTACAATCCCTCAAGGTGAACTTCAGTTCCACAAAAATTCTCTGGGCAGTGCCCTTCTCTATCCAGTTAGTCCGAAGCCAGTTATTCTGATTGGGCTCCATGACCTTGCAAACCTGGTATGTGCGAATGGGAGTGTAGTTCTCATCGAGGCCGCTGATCTCTTCCCACTGAAACAAGAACACATGTGGAAGTGAGCACCTCCAATAGAGACCAACACAGTTTAGATGTAAAGCAATAACACTGAGATGGACATCAAATGATTGGCAATGAATCTGGAGATGATGCCTCATTAGAGAATACGACAAAGGTACAAAAAATACATTTCAGAGATAAGCTTTTACATTTATATCAACACAGCTTTAAAAACAGATTATGCTCAATTTATGTTCTTCTGCTCACATTACTTATTTAAAGTTTCTCACAGCCTGCTTTTCATCAGACTGCAGCTTGGAAGCGGGTTGCTTAAGGCCTTTGTGCTCAGAATGTCAAAACCCTGTAGAGTTTAGTGACAAAAAGAGCCTCCTGAATTCTGCAAAGACTTCAGCTAGCACTGAGCCTTATGTATGTTTCATGCCCGGTCTAAATATTATTATTCCTATCACAGATGTGGGACATCAGAGAGAGCTGTAACATCGATATGGAGCACATCCGAGTGATGGAGAATTTTAACAGACTTACCCCATTGGGAGGATAGGAGATCCACTCCAGTTCTGTCTGCTGTGCCTTGGAGTCCAGCAGAGTCACTAGTGACAGGAAACCAGAGGCAGGTGGTTAAATCTCACCGGGGACAGGTATTACTGACCGGCCACACATCCATATATAGCGCAGTTAGCCGTGACCTTATTCCAAGCAACTAAAGCTAAAACATTCATATGCATTAGACACAGGGCCGTCCCTCCCTACAGGAAAATCACGCAGACTGCGTAGGGGGCCTCATCTTGCGGAGGTATCCTCAACTGAGCCGCAAATCGCACCTATGCGTGTATGCGGCGCAATTAGTGTGGCGCGGTATGTGTCGCCGCTGCGAGGCTCCACTACCACCCCGCCGACGCTCGCGAAACATTGGGCCTCATCATCTAACTTTGCGTGGGGCCTCAAGTTGGCCAGGGACGGTCCTGAGACACTGCAGGGAACTTTCTGAGACAGACGGAGAAACTGACATGTGCATCTACAAGAAATAGAGACTAAAAGCAGAGGTACATGTTGGCACATGTACGGAATAATAACGCGTATGATCATAGCGCGTTTATTATAACACATAGGCTATGCGTTTATTGTACATTTATTAAAACTCGCTGTTTCATTGGAAGTTGTTCCATTAAGGTCAAAGCGGCTGCTGCTGTCATTCCGATGGAGAGCTTAAACTCAGGAGTGTTTCAGTTTAAAGCGGCCTTAAAACAGTTCCCCACAGAACATGCGGCTTGTGTTCAGTTTAAATCTGTGGAGGAGATATTTTTTTCCAATCAGCCTGTTTATGTTCCGGGCGCGTGAGAGAGCGCAAAGCGGCAGAACGGAGGCTCAGAAAAACCTGAAGTTGTTCTAAATGAGCAGAAAGCTCCGCCATGAGAGCAGCCAGGATGCATCGCGGTGAAAAATAACATTATTATTTATTATCTTTATTTTTGTATTATGTGTGTACATTTGTTTGCAAGGAGCTCCGCGAAACCCCGCATATAACCGCCGAGTATTTACCATTCATATCAGACATTACACCAGGACCGCGCTCGGTTATTACACAGTAGTTTTGGTGCCGGGAATAGCCATACTTGCCCTTTAATTTTACACAAAACATAATTGAACCTTACATAATAAAAGTGCATATTTTCAGCCCTTTTGATATATTTGAATCCTCTTTTATTTTTGGGTGTTTTATAGCTGATCAATTTAAGGCAGATAACGACTCCGCGTCAATGTGCCGTATTTTCCTGTAAAACTAGATTTAGAGCCGAGGCCACTTTGGAGGATATAATCCTCCGAAACTGCCTCCACACCGACAGCCCTTACATCCCTGGAGCTGCTGGGCCATCGATCCGCTGATATTGCCTGGTTTGTCATGATAGATTGTTAATCTATAACGAGCAGGCTAGTTATGTCTATAACGCAGTGGCGCTGGAGTAAAGTAGAGCCGAAGCTCCTGCGTCTAATCCGAGCTACGGTGTTTCAGCTCCGTGCGTAAAACCCCCGAGAGGTCGCTGCCTAACAGCCGGGAGCAGAGCGCTGTCACCCCGCACACCAACCCCCTCCGACGGCTCTGGCTCTATCACACACCCGGCTGTTGAGTAACTAGCTTGTGATTTGAATTAAAAAAGAAATACAAGGAGGCTTTCCGCGGAACCTTCTCCTAATTCTGCAGGATGTCTTCCGAATGTGAGTCCAAACTTTAAGAACTTACCTTCCTTCGCATTCTGTGCTTGTCCGCCGTCTACACAGCAGCATAAATGAAGGCAAAATGTAATCCACAGACACGGGATGGAGCTGGAAAGCATGGTGCAGCCGCGGATATCGGTGTAGACCGTAACTCTCTGTGCCACCGTCTCGCGTGCTTCCCATTGACGACACTAAACCGGCTCTATGTACAACAATCCGCTGGTTCCACTCAAATAGCGTCTGCTGCCGTGGGGCGGGGCCTGTGGCTCCGCTGCTGTCAGTCAGGAGGACAGGCTGAGGGGTTGGCCAATCACAGCGCACAGAAGGAAACGTCATGAATCCTGTGGGCCAATAGGCGCGCGGAGGGAGATGGGTTTTGGGGAATGCGCGGCGGAGGAAATATTGTCACAACTCGGTTCAGATATTTTTGGTTTTCTGCAGGAAAAGGGCAAGGGATGCTCTGGCACAGTTGGACACACACAAACACAGACAGACAGACACACACAGACACACACACACAAACACAGACAGACACACACACACACACACACACACACACACACACAGACACACACACAAACACACTCACCACAAAAGCTTAATCCTCAGAACTGTTACAGGGTGTGTAGCTCCTCTGAAAAACAGCAGCTTCAGTCTTAATGTTTCACAGTGTTTCATGTTCCTGTTGTGTCACCTTTCTGTGAGACTATATTACACAAAAACACTTTCACACTCAACACACACATTATTAACCTGTTCTAATGTACATACATAAACACAGTTAAAGAAGATAATAAGAAAAACAACCAAAAACCGTTAAAAAAAACTATTATACGTTAAGATATAGAAAATTAGTTACATAAAAGTAGAAAAGCAGTGGTGGAAAGTAAATATAGTTTACTTAAATATTGCACTTACACAAGTAAGTACAACAGCAGAGTAGACAGCGGGCCCGAAGGCCTAGCCAGGAACATAGCTTTTAGATTTTGAGATTGTTAAACTATACACTACAGCTAAATACAGTCACATATACATCATCTCACAGTTTAGATGCAACCACTCTTAACCTAACCTAACCCAGTACTTTGACACCACTTCAAACAAACACAGGCGCAGACTTGAAAACTTGAACTTGGATACGTATAAGTACCAATGTTCCTGTTCATTTCGTGGGACCTCCCTCAGATTCTTACTTGAGCAATATAAGATCATTTTACCATTACAAATACACCATTTTTTGTATACCTTGTACAGTGGCGCCTCCAGAAATGTTTCATAGGGGTGGCCAAATGGGGCCAATGAAAATCTTGGGGTGGCCCACCAAAACCAAGAATGTAATTGTTGTAAAAGTATAGACTAGATGAAAACAATGGCAAAGAGAATCACCTACTGATATACTTTGGTTTCTTATTTTACATTTTCTGATACTATTCTTCTGAAGTGAATGTAATACGGATAGTTAACATTTTACTTCAAACAACATTTAAAAGAACCTTGTTTTGTGTTATGTATACATGTGTTGGTGATTTATTGTTTTGTTTTTTATATAGTTGTTCTTTCCTTTTAAAAAGACAAATAGAGCTTAATTTAAATAAGTTCCTTTATTGTAAGGCACAACATGTTCAGCATTCTCAACACATACAATACACAACAGCAACACAACATGTTCTTCAGTTATATTATGTCTCTAGGTTATAAATAGTTTTAGACTGAACAAAGCTGTTTGTGTCACACTGGGATCAAAGATGATTGACATGACTTTATTAAATCAAGTTTTAAAACATGACTATTTTTATTTCAACAGGACCCAAAAACACAAGGGGTATAAAATGGTAAATACTGTGATTGAACACAAACACGGCATCTATGATTGACCTTTATAGCAAACTCAAAACATTATAAATGATACAAAACACCACCTTTTAGTATTAGACAGAAAATAGGTGACGAGACATATTTCTATTTTTTTAGATTAGGCCACTGTGGTGAGAGTAATACATATAGCTTGTATTCCATTTGTTTTGAAAATGTATATTTATACTTTATAAACAAACTGGTTACCCTTTTTTTGAATTAGCATGCAGAACATTATGAAAACAAACTTGACTAATGGTCGGCTCATAACCTCAGAACACAGAAGAGGAAAAACTGCATAGATTCTCGTTTCATTTTGAAGGAGCTGCAGACCTAAAGTGTGTAGAAGACTTAAATGATTAAAAAGGTCACAATCACATTAATAAAACTGTACTTTGGTTTTAGTTTCACTTTTACAACACAGAGTTCCACATGTACTTTCTAGCATGTAAGGCCATCTCCTCACTAGCCCTATATGCTGCTCCCCTGCCAGCTCTGTCTCTCCTTTACTCATCTTCTTCTTCAAATAAGAAGAGATGTCTGTTGACTTTCTCTTCATTTTCTGCAAATTGACATTACACACAGCAGTGATTAATTAATAGTAGCCTACGCATTACACCAGCCCAGCATACCGACATCAGCTAACGTTAGCTTAGCAAGCTAAACTAACGGTAACTAGGATAGCCGCCAAAGTGTGTTTACAGACGAATTATACCTGAAGTCAAGCCAGCCTTTACTGAGCCCCGAGCCTGTTTTCCAGGTCTTCCAGCGTTTTTCTCGTTTTAATGCCATTGAACACACATTTTGATCAGAATAACAGCTAAAGGTTAGCATATCTCCGTGTTTTGCTACCTAAAGCTAACACACTAAAGCCTAAAGTGTTGTGGGGCTTAACAGGAAACACACTTATACGACTTACCTTCTAGAAGTCTGGTGGATTTTTGTCAACTCCAGTCCAGTCAGTAGAAAGAAACGTTTTGCTGCAACCTGCTGCTGTCTGTGCGAATCTCAGAGTGGGGCGCGCGAGTATCAGAGTGGTGCGCCGAGTATCAGAGTGTTACCATGGTAGCAGTGGGAGAGGGAGGGGCTGCAGTGTGAGCGTTGGAAGCTCAAATCAAGCGACTCGCTGGCTGTGTATTTGTTGTTAAATATCAGATAAACTAATACGCATACGTGACTGGCGAGGCGGTGTGTGTGGTGGGGGGGCCAACAAATATATCAGGGTGGCCATGGCCCCCTCTGGCCCCCCCCTGCTGGCGCCACTGACCTTGTACTCTATAAATGTAAAATGCATCATGACAGAGTCAATCTGAACCATAGTCAGGAAATGAAAGTAAGACGTATGTAAGAAGTGCCTCAGATATAATTGACAGTACTTAGTTTCATGCACTGGGATTTTCTACAGGATGTTTGTGACAAGGACTAAACGGCTGACACATGAATACAAATATCAATTTTATAAAATGTGTGTCTGTGTTTAGTCAGCCCCGAAAATTAAATTCCATTCATCTAATTTACAGTATAGAAAGAATGAAATAATAGGTATTTATTTAATGCCACTTTATATGTTTTTAAAAGGGAAATCATTACATTTTACTCCACTACATTTATTAAATAGCTTTAGCAAATTTTAACAAAATACATCCCTACAAATGTTTGAACTAACTCTTTAAGTCACAAAAGAGTCAAATTATTTAAATATTTTACAAACAGTAGGCCTACTGTATATCAGAACTTTGTGTGTCTAAAACAGAATGGTCACATATATAAATATAATGATATACACACTTAAAGGCAATTTCTGCACAATGATTACATTGACTTTTTACACTTAAATATATTTTGATGCTAATACTTTTGTACTTTTACTTAAAGGTGGGGTAGGTAATTTATTTCAGAAACACTTTTTGTTATATTCCATGGAATGCTCTTAACATCCCGATAGCAATGAATATCTTAAATGCTTTGACAATAAATACATACAAATATGTGATCAGTGGAAGCCGTAGTTCTGTAAAAAGCACGACCAATCATCTGAGCCGGCTAAAATAACTGGATGGCCTACCTGCCTGTCAGCCTTGCATCTGGGCACAAACTTACCTCCTGCCCTCATTGGTCATGTGCGCGTTCGTGTGTGTTGGAGGAGGGGCTCTGTAAGGAAGTCTGAAGGAAGGGGCAGATTTTGTCCGGTTGTGTATTTTCAAATTCTAGCACCCTCGTTACCCCACCTTTAAGTAAGATTTTAAATGCAGGACTTTTACTTGTAATGAAGTATTTTGACAATAATATATTGGTACTTGAAGTAAAGCATCTGATTACTCCTCCCCCTCTGTCTGTAAGTTAGAGAACATGTTGATGTGGAGACAGTGTGGTGTGTGGTGGGTCATCTAGATGAGAGTGGACCTGATCCATTATCGCTCTGCTGCCTCAGAGATTTCCCCCTGAAGAAACCATCAGGGGTCTCCAATAACAAACAAAATAAACACTTAAAAAAATAACAAAGTTAATTTCCCACTTTCGTGGATGACTTGAATTGGCACTTAAAAATGAAAGCATAGAGCGAGCTCATTATCTCTCTACATACAGCGTTTGTTGCAGGTCACTAATTCATCTCCTTTACCTCCAACAAGGAAACAGCTGTAATTATGGCCACAAATATTGATAAATAAACTGTGTACATAGAAATGGACAGGAGCAGACGAGGACTCTCTTCAAGGTTTATTTACCTCAGCTTCCTGTTTGTGTTTGTTCGACGGGCCTGTTTATTATGCAAATTGAGCTAATCCTTTCCGCCCTTCATATTCAGCCGAGTCCTGCTTGAAAGTGTATAACTAATGATTGTTGAATTAATCTGGATTCATGTTACCTTTATTATAAAGTGTCTGTATGACATCATCAGCATGTCCATGTGTGAGACAGGATTTCAGATGGTACACACATATTATAATACATAGTGTTCTTCCCTCTGTGGGACCAGCACAGGAAACACACTCCTCTGTGGAGTGTGTTTCTTAAAGTTATGGACAGGCTGAATTCCTTTCTTGAAAAGGTTGGAGTTACCATATTTGCAAATACCCATAACCTGATGCCTTTGAAAATGTTTGATAGGTGTTTCTTCATCCAACAAGAAATCTGCATGCATCTCCCCCCCAGCCTTCAACAGTGGGCTCCTTGCTTTGTGTAACATGTGCAGAGGTCGTGCGTAGCAAATCTGAAGTTAACACAAATTGAGAAGCAATTATGATATGCTGTGGACTCATTAACTCGAATAAGACAGGACAAGGAAACAAACGTAACATCACAATCACTGAAGAGAAGAATGCTCAAGACCCTCTAACGTACGTTTGATCTGGGATTTAACTC